TTATTTTCAACAGTAAGGAGTTCCGCTCTGAGTATCAAACATGTCTGACGCGGAAGGGTACGTGAGAGTCTCCGTGATTCTGTTAGGTCGGAATAAAGTTCTTTGCTCGAGATTTTCTCTTCATTTCTCCTATACATATTATTTGTGTATTTTGTGTTGATAGAGATGATGTGCCTACCACAACCAGTGTTGGTGAAATGGATGTTAACACAGCTCTTCAGGAAGTTTTGAAGACTGCCCTGGTTCACAATGGCTTGGCCCGTGGCCTGCACGAAGCTGCTAAGGCTTTGGATAGGTAGGTCATTACATTTACTTGTGTTACTTTCCCGTAAAGTGTTATTGCTGTGTTCGATTTTTGAAATCGCCTTGAAATATAGTTTCTCAAGTGCAACGATTGCAATGAGCTCTAACTGAGGGCTTCTATCTTCTCTTTGGCAAAGGAGCCGATCTGTTATATCTCCCAAGTTTTGAGATCACGTTCACATTGTGGGAACACTCTTGCAACTGTCATTTATGATTAAAATCTTACTTCTCTTTACAATATCAAGCTAGTAGGTAGTAAACAGGTGTTAAGAATAGACAAACTCATCAGCCATGCGGTGTTATCCAATACGAAAAGAAGTTATCCTTTCTCGATAGATGGAAGGGAGAGAGAGAGCTAATAATGGGGAACTGGTGCCAATTTTTCAAAAGTTGCAGTAATTACTAGTCTAGTGAAGCTTTTGTTTGCCGTGTTGTTATTCGAGATCAAAACTATTGACAGTTATACAATATCATCCATTGGCATCCATCAACATCTAAGATGACCCTCAGTGTTCATCACATTTTTGTTCAATCTATTTTGGGTTTTTCTCATGATAAATGTGAAATTGTCAATTTTTAAAGAGAATACAGGGATAAGAAGAGAAAGAGATGAGACAGTTTTTTTTTTCTGGAATGGAAGTTTTGAATTGGTCTGATCTGTATTTTCTTTTCTTTTTAGGCGTCAGGCTCATCTTTGTGTCCTGGCTAACAACTGTGATGAAGCACAGTATGTTAAGCTTGTTGAGGCCCTGTGCACTGAACACAATATCAACCTTTTGAAGGTGAGGTTATACATATAGATGTACATTATTGAAGTTGCACAATAAATCTTAGTATTTTTCGTAACCCTTTGACCCTTAAGAGTGACTGGCATCTAATTTCTCCCTACAATGTCACTGAATTAAACATCAGTGTTACAAGAATGAAGGAAATGATCATCAGCTAAATAAGCTCTTAATTGTTAAACACATTTACTTTGTCAGCACCTTAGGGAATGTATTGAGACCAGTATGGATAATATGCATACTAATGCCAGGGTGTTAGGGGTTAACTAAAAGAAAGAGTTGGCTTTGGAATGAAACATTGAATGGAATATAACAATAGATTATTATGACTTGTTAACTATTGGGGAGATGAGTTAGCAATGATAAGTCTGGTATTCTTTTTGCGAATTAAGGTTGATGACAACAAGAAACTTGGAGAATGGGCTGGTCTCTGCAAGATTGACAAAGAGGGAAAAGCTAGGAAAGTTGTCAGCTGTAGCTGTGTTGCTGTTAAGGTAGGATTGACATCTTTGATATAAAAGTTTGTTTGGGTGAAGTGTTCTTTAAGTGGTGGTACAGTTGAATACCTACATTTGGAAACTTTCTTGACACAGCTGGTTACGGGAATTCCACCATTATATTTAACTGCCTTGCTGTAGGCGTTAATGAATTTCTGTTAAAGCAGTCAGTGTCATGTAACCATGCACTTGAAATATAGTTTCACAAAAGAAAAGTAGATTACTATCTCTGTCAGACAGCAAGGTGTCAATAATAACTCCATACTGGCAGGCTGTTATTTTCCTGATGTTTTAGTGTTAGATAAAGGTGACTACTCTATAGCAGCAGCTGATAGTTAAGGAAGTTGTGAGTTTTCGTGGAATTATTTTACAAAGTTTATATTTAGTAGTGCCATACTGTGATGAAGAAAAGGACTCCCTCTTCTGAAATTTTGTGAGGATATGTCCAAAACCGGAATCGATATTGAAATTCTGAGAAGGCACTTGCTTAAAAGTAGCAGCTTCTGTAAGCACTGTATATTTTCGTTTTGATTCATTTTCTCTTTGTGTGCTTTTTATTCAGGACTATGGAAAGGAAGGTCAAGCTCATGATGTTATCATGCAGTATTTCAAGAGCAAGCGGGGCACATAAATCTTACATTGACTTGATTGCTTACCAAAGAAATAAAAAAGTGTTAACTTAGACTGGTCTCTTTGTTCGTAAGCTATCTCCTGTTATGATGGAATGGCCTGCCACTATTTGGTGAGATATCTAACAGAACTGTCTGTGGGTATTGCTTGGCAATGGGGATGTGTGCAATTGTTGATCTTTTCCACGTTAAACTTGTACTGCTGGAAAGGGATATGTTTTAAAGTTTTGCAATTTTGTTTTTGTAACTTGCACTTGAATCAAAACATGATAGTAGTCTGTTTTAGCACAAAGCAACATGTCTTTAGGGGTTAAAAGTAGCTGGTAGGGGAAAATGATAAGGACCTTTGTGTCCTCCGGCGAGCTCTTCCTTCTAGATATTCCTGATTCTTCAGCAAACACCCCCTGACTTAGCTAAAAAGCTGTTGACCTTGGAATTATCTTTTGACAGCGAGTATACCATGAACTATTGAAAATAGGTACAACTTTTTAATTTACTGTGCCTTTGAGTATGTTCATCCTCCTTAATTTCCTGTCCTTGAAAAATCTAACCTCTGAGTGAATGGTGGGAACTGTTTTTACCACTAGGTGGTCCAAAATGCAATGGATGTTATCCATACTGAGGCCATGATAGGGGTCAACTCAAGCTAATTCAGTTAATAATGCCTCAAAATATTTCTCTAGTTCTCAGTTATGTTTTGATATTTAGAGTTGATTGAACCTCAAATTAGATATGTTCTCCCTGCCTTATCTTGCACTTTGATAATTTTGTCTTTCACAGTTGTAGCTAGTCCAGATTCTTATATACCCTGAAGTTATTGATGGTCTGTTTACTGGGTTTTAATTTCAAACTTTTTTATGCAAAATAGAGTTAAATTCAGGATCTGAGTTTGTACTTTAAATTCAAGATCAACAGGCTTATCTTCTGTTAATCCGAAAGTGAAACAAAATCGATCTTTTTTGATGGATTTTATTGGTGAGGGATCTAAGGGGAGGGGGACGAGAGATTTATCGTCTGAAGGCCTGGATACTAGTTTCGAGTTGGTGTTGATCACGAGATCCGAAAAGGAAACGGGAAGTAAAATTAGGAGATAAAATTAACTATTGAGCAAGATAGCTAAGGAATGGAAGGACAAGCAAAGCCTCCGCCTTATAATTACGGTGCCATTACAACAGATTCTGGTTATGCAGCTCCACCGCCTTATCCTGCTACAGGTAATCTACCAAACGTAGATTCGTTGTAGACGCAAAAAAGCCTCTAAGTGAATGGTAAAACCAAGCTTTGGTGTCTGTGATGAAATCTGCTGCCATGACGGCTACTTTACTTCTTAGAAAAGCGTTTCGCTTGGCGAGGATTCTGATGATTTTGGGGACATTTAGAATCGTTAAAAATCATCAGTAATTGTAGACGTACTCGTACGATCTATTTTGTAAAAGATTACATGTTGTTTGAAGCGCGCGAATGCCTGATTAATTAATGAGAAAGAGGGCATTGAATAGATGCTTATAACATGTTGAAAGCTCCCTTTCTTCCTCCTAATTCATTTATCATCCCACCAACAGCTTCCTTTGTATCGCTTTTTTGCCATCTCTGGTCACTGATGGTTTATTGTCCGAGCAGACGCATGTTCAAATTAGGCAATCATGTTTAAAATACCCCTGTGGCCTGTTGGTTGCTCAGTTACAAGGGCCATGACGATAGGAAACAGTTCTAGCCATCATTTTTCGAGCTGGTTAATATTTCAGAGGCAACGTGATGAACACTAAACTGGTGTCTGTGCCCCTGTTAAGTCTGATCTCACTCTAGCCTATACCTGATAACTAATTTCTCTTGGAGGAAAAAATCGATCCATGGCAGCCCTGCTTGACTGAAACATTTCCAAATGCATAGCTTAGCCCCATAATTATACAAAATAGTAGGAACCCATTGAGCCAAAAAAATTTGGATGTATGACAGTACAACTGTACGACTGTATGACCGTACGACTGTACGACCGTACGACCATACAACTGTACAACCGTACAAGGTGCTACTTTTAACATGCATGGTCAACTGTACCGTGGGCATGCCAACGCCACGGCTTTGTCCAGTAGTCCAGTGGTCAGTGCACTGGGCTCTGAGTTGGATGACTCGGGTTCTAGTACTGGCCAGGGTAAGGTGTTGTGCCCTTGAGACGTGTGGAAAAAAAATGTGAGCTCCGCTTTTAGGCTTGGCCAAATCTATATATTATATCAATTAATAGTGGTAATAGGACTGAGTGGAGTCCAATTTGGTCTGTAATCATACATACCTACGTCATGAGTATGATTACGGACAGAATTGTACGACATGAAGTCCCGCTACCAATTAGTCATGACCATTACAATTTCCGAAAAAAAAAAATACATTTAGGACAAACATCTCCAGTAGGGACAATGTCTAAAGCAACAAATTTGGAAATTTCCCAGTTCTTTTTTTCAGAACAAGTGGTTTTTGCTATGGTTATTGTGATCAATTCTGTGATTGGTGGATTTAGCAGAGTGACTTAGTATGATTGGCTACTTCAACTGTCTGATTATAGGTGTCTGATTACAGCCCAATGTCTGATTACACTGTCTGATTACAACGATACAGAGTGATTAGTGAAATATAAAGCAGCTGATGCACCAATCACATTTAAGGAAATTGTAATGGTTATGATTAATTTGGGGTCAACCATTTCAGAAGAGAAACTTATTTCTGACAAATCATTTTTTTGGAAAATGCTGGAATTTTTGAAGAGAGAGCTCTAGATGGGAGTTTGTGTTTAAACTACTCAGGAGATCTTCGAAAGTCTTCAAAAATCTTTTAGATCTTTTCATACATACAGGTCTCCAACAAAAATATTTCTTATAATATTAAAATAAAATCTAATGCTATGTGCTCAGAAAAAAATAAAGTTGGCAGATGATAATAATAATGATAATGATAATAATAATAACAATAATGATAATATTTATATGGGATAACCCCATCAGTTTAATGACACTGGTATCAGTGGGTGCCCTATAAGTTAATTACAGTGTTAACATCACAAAAGGTATTACTATATAGTGTTGTAAAGAAAAATACTGAATAAAATCTATCTAAAAATTTACTATAGTATGACTAAAAGTCCTTAATATCCTTTGAAAATTCAGTATAGGAATTCTTGGTCTTCAAATGGCAGGTGAGGCTGCTGTACTCTTTTGCCTCAGTAAAATAAAAAAGACTTCTTCTAACCATAGTGTACAAGTATCTGAACAGTTTCTTGTTGCAATTGTGTGGATAGAGCTATTTAAATGAAAGTAATTATTAAAATATAATGTTACTGAGCTATCAAGGCCTTTTCTCGTTAATGAAACTATGTGAAGTTTCCACCCATTTCTTAGTGGTATAAGACCAACAACAGTAGTCAGCTCACTGGCATTCAGACCAGAGTTTGGAAGAATTAAAGTGTTGGCACTGTTCTGTAGACTCTCAAGGGTGTCCTGACTTTGACAGCTTTCTGGGTATAACTTCCTCCTACGAATTGAATACATTGGACAGTAAACAGTTTATGAGAGTTGATAAACTCATCAGCAAGAGTGTAATGATGAAATGAAACCAAATTCTCTCAATTCATATAGATATATATTACATTATCTGGAGAAGCAAACTGTGAATGAAATTGTGGAGTTACTTATTTTCAGAATTGGGATATTCAAGTGACCAATGACTTGTTCATACTTCTCTCATCAATAAAATGAAAAAAATAGTGACAAATACAAGAACACAGGAGCAAATGGGATTTTTCCTCAATAAAGTATACTAGTTAATATTAGCAGGTTTTTTTATTTATTTATTAATTTATTTTATTTCAGCACCAGGGTATCAACCACCACAGCCTTATCAAGCTCCTCCCCCAAGGATGCAGCCTGTGGGACCCACAACAACAACAATCATTACGCCACCCACTCCTATCATTGTGAACATGATTTTTGGTGAATCTCCCGTTAGCATGGTCTGTCCACATTGCCAGACACATATTATCACATGTACAACATATCAGGATGGTACTCTAACATGGTTGTCAGCTGGAGCTCTATGCCTTTTGGGGTAAATTGAAATTTGATCCATCATTTGAACAGTAACCTCAATTAAGTTTAAAAATTGAAAAGTGTTAAGTGACTAATCAATGGAGTCTGGTCATCAGGTCGGGCACTGTGCCTTTCAAGGTCAATTGAGTTCAGACAGTTGTTAGTAAATGATGACAGCACTTGGGTTTTAACTATTTAAAATGTAATTCTGTCAAAGCCCACTAATCTTAGTGGTGTTAACCTATTTAATGGCTCAAAAAAAGAAATAACAAGTTGACCCTTTTTTTGAAATCAAAGCAAAGGATACATGAAATACTTCAGGGCTGCAGTGGAATCACTGAAGGACTAAATCTCTTCCTTTCACTCCATGGGGAACTTTGAAAATGTTTCTTCCTAACAGTATACAGGATTCCTTTGCATTATGAACCTTAGAAACAATCTATCTTATCACAAGCTTCCTCAAGCTTTTAAATTAACTTCTTCATTAGAACTGAATTTTTTTCCTGTGTCCCATGCTGGTAACAATCAAAATGTTTCAAAATTAATCTAATTGTTTTCAAGATCTTTCTTTATTGATATTGTTGTTTTACAATTTAATCAACAGATGTTGGCTAGGTTGTTGTTTAATTCCATTTTGCTTGGATGGTTGCAAAGATGTCATTCATTCTTGTCCAAATTGCCATGCAAGGCTTGGCAGTTATCGCCGAATGTAGACTGTTCAGCAGAAGACACATCACAAGGTGGAAGTACAATAGTAGTTCTTGTCAAGCCTGAACTAAGCTATACTAGATATCATATCTAAACCTCAATATATTTTCCTTGTCAAAACCAACAGAATGAAAGTAATGTAAGAAAAACTATAGAAAATAGAAAATTTATATACTATAAAAGATTTAAGAATTTACAGATTTACTGATTTTGATTTACTGTAGAAAATAGAAAAAAGAAAGTTTTGTTAGTTAAAATAATACTGAAAGAGTCTTGTGAGCTAACAGTTTTTGAAAATGCCTGCTCTGGGTGTCCAGTCTAAAACTCCGAAAAAATTAAGTAAAAAAAATTTTTTTTGATCAAAATTTTTTTCTGTTAGTTATTGTAAACATAAGGCTAGAAAGAGATAGTGTTATTCTTGTGCATGGTGTACACGTATGCTTTTAGTAATTTTTAACTAATAAACACTTTTGTTGAAGTAGTGCTGATTTTTTGTCCTTGGTTGTTAGAATATTAGGTCTGATCCATGCTTACAACTTTACATTGGTGTTAGAGAAATATATGTACCAGTTGTGTCGTTTTGTTCTTTCTAATACTTTTTCTCTTGTGTTCTTCACACTGAGGACGAAAACATCAGTATAGCAATTATTCTGGTTAAACTTGGCATGTGGAAAATTGATTGAGAATGAGAGCAGCTGTCTCTGCAGTAGGCTTACTTAACCCTTTAACCCCTAATAGTGATTACCAGCTATTTTCTCCTATTAATATCACCCCTATAACAAACATTGAGGTTATGAGAATAAAGGAAATGATCACCAGCTAAAGACGCTCTTGATTGTTAAACGAATTATCTTTGTTAGTGCCATAGGAAATGTACAGGGAACAGTGTGGAGAAAATATATGCTGATGTTAGGGTGTAAAGGGTTAAGAAAGTGAGATACCCACCTTAATTGATTTGAAAGAGTATTTCCTGTATGTGACTTAAGTTTTTTTTTCTGTTAATTATTGTAAACATAGAGCTAGAAAGAGATAGTGTTATTATTATGCATGATGGAGAGGAAAATGAAAGGTAGTGGTGGACAGAGTTTGTTTGTCATGGGACAAAAAATGAAATGAAAAAAATTCACTTTAATGATACTGCCAGGTAATCCCCTTAACATTGTCTTTGAAATTATTTTTTTTCATAGTGATTGCAACTTTGAATTGAATATCTACTTTTGTAGCCGTGTTATAGACAGAGTGCTAATGTAGTTGTAATAGGAAGGTTATTATGATAGAAATTTCAAGAGAAATTCCATGAATTTTATCACTGTGTTTTGTTTTGGCTTCTCATCCAACTACGATTACAAATAGAAAAGAGACCTCCCAGTGTTGTTGTTGTGTTTTATGACCCTTCACCCGCAACTGAGATCATGATATCAGCTCTCTACATGGTCTTCCATATATTTCCTATAATTTTACTTCTAAGAATTTGGAGTTGAATCCAAAAGTATTCCATGTTGATTGAATTATTTCATCTCATTAACTTTGAAATGTGTGAAATGTGAGGAAAAATTCTGTTTTGGTCAATCCTGGGTTTGGGGAGTGTTGTAAACCAGTCGGGTGTTATGGCTAATTCTATTTCCTTTTGGGCAACTATAAACTCAAAACAACAGACTGTTAGGTAAATTGATTATTTTGGTAAAATTATCAAGGATGTTGCATATTTGTTAAATTTGCTTTCATAATCAACACTTGCCTAATATTATATTGTTTTTTGGCAGTTAACAATCAACTGATCAGTTTTTCCTTAAATAAAAGTGATGGGGGGAAATTTGCATACTTTTTTTTAACTGTCATCTGTAATAATAGGTAAGTAACAGGTATTTATGAATAATAAGATACATTGATGAATATTCACTGATAAACTGAAATTCATTTGTCTGGTCTTCTCAGTAACTGCACCTATATTTACATAGGAAAGTAAAGTTCAGAAAACTGGGAGTGCAATCAGAAAAAATATTGAAGTAAACAACTCAGAAAACTGAGTTTGCAAATTAAATTAAATGACTTAAACATTATTTTGAGTGGTAGGATTTTTATGAAGAAAATATAATCAAACGGTTAAGAATATATGAAAGTCATATATAATCAAGAAAAGATATTAGGATTTTAAATGAAATTTTTATTTTGATGCTATTTGTTAACAGAAGTGAAAGTGTCATCCCTTTCCTCTTAAGGAAAATTCCAATTTTACAATTTGCGAATTCCAACCATTAACATATATTTACATGTTTGGAGTTCCTTTTTCAACCCTTACTTGGGTTTTAAATAGAAAGTGATGACATATGACTCATCAGGCGCTGCTTGTTTGAGAGTCTCCCTAATTTGCGTACAACGCGAATTCAAATCACTGACTGTTTACAGCGCAGCATTATTGAAATAAAGTTTCGTATCTTGTCTTAGGTGCGAACAAGATCAATAAAGTTTTTACCATTAAAGGAAGCGCTGAGAACAAAAAGAATCTGTCACGGGTTTTCGGCTTCGCGACTTGCACTTTTCCACTTCCGGAAATAATTGTCCTGTGACGCTTTTTTCAACAATGATTAACCCAAATTGGTGCTGTTATGTTCCTAACATCGTCTAATGATATTAAGATAAAATCGGCAGTGGAAGGCACTCTGTGCAATGATAATCATAGATTTTTTTGACAAAAAAAATATGAATTTTTTCGGTGCGTGATTTCGTACTTTCGTCACCACCTTCCGTAGTTACGATCTTGTAAAAGGACTACACACCCACTTCCGCCGAACATTACCTCATGACGTCGGGCATGACATCGGTATGACATCTCGTGGCGGGAAATAGAGCCCGATAAGAAACAGCCAATTACATTACTTCCGAGATGATCAATATTATGGATATCGAATTTGATTGGTCGAAAAAAACTAAAATAATTTAATCACGTGACAATCTCATTCTTGTAAGCTTGAATCCTTTCACTTCATTTATGTTTGCCTCGTTTCTTGTCGAGTAAAGGCTCTCAAAACAATTTGAGTTACAGCCGGAGATTTTTGAACGATTTACAATGGCTGGTGCCAGCGGAGAGAATGCAGAAAGTCCGACAATTTCTCCCAGACAGCAAGCGAATAGAAAGCCCTCGCGAAATCGTCTTTCTTGTCAAGTCACTCTTCTCGATGGAACGGTTTTGACTACAGATCACTTACAAGTAAGTTTTTTCCAACGGTCTATTCGATGTTTTTAAGCTACTGTAGAAGATCTCGTTAAAAATCTTGAAGTTTATCACATAGTTTTTCCAATTTTATGATGGGAAATGCTTGGGGAAATGTCTTACCCGAAATGTCGTTGTCACGACGGGCAGCAGTATATTTTGAATCGAACTTTAAGCACGGTTCGAATGGCAATGGTTGAAGCGATTACATGGAAAATTTCCAATACCTAACAACTCTTGTTGCTTAACGACACGATTTTATATTTGTCCTATGGCTGTTAAATGGTGTGTTATTGTGTCTCGCGAGAAGTCAAATTGGAAAAATTGAGAAAGGAAACGGTCGTCTCCCGCGGACCTACAAAAGCATTTTATGTAAATGTCTACAGCGGCTTTGACTGTGCACATTAACACGTTTCATGGCCGATCATCAGGGTTTGCCTTATCTGCAAATAAATCCTACAACACTGAAAGTTAAGGTGAATCGTGTGTGGATTTCAATTTGTTGCCAGTCGACCTCTGTTCTCTTCGATGTTTACATCATGATTAGGAAGAAAAATTGTTCGATGTTCGCGTTCATCATTTCATAGTTGGTCTTCTTTTAGCTATTTTCCCTATACATTAATGGATTCTCTTTCATGAAACTGAATTTTGATTTATGACTTCATATTTACTGCCTAAAGATTTGTTTTCATCTATTCTGCTCTTCATGTTCCAAAATTGGCATGGAATGATAAAGAGCAATTGGAAAGAGAGCCAATGTTTTGATTTTCAGCGAACATTTTGCAGGATAAGTATAGGTTGTGTTATTAACACTTCAAAACTAACATTCTGCAAGTTATATTCAACGTCCAAACGTCATCATAGATATGATAACGTTAGAATTCTGTTATCGATGCCAAAATTTATTTGATTCGGTTTGACCAATTTAGCATTCGAAAATTAAAAAGGTGTTTTTCGTTCCTAGCTTTAGCTTTCGTCAATCTTTCGGTCTATAATTCTATGTTCTTGCGATGATTTTTGACACACGAATTACTTCCTCTCAAAGAAAAGTGCCAAGGGTATGGACTTGATGCACTGGGTAACAACACAACTGAACATTACAGAAAAAGAGTACTTTGGACTACTATGGGAGGACAAAACAGGAGAAAAGGTAATAAGATATTTTTAGGTTACCCAGCACAACTAAGCTTTGGGTTATGATTAGGGTAGATGATTGTCTTAATATAACTTCTCTTTGTTGTGTCTAGAAGTAGATCGCCCCTTATCGACAAATTTAACTCCGTTAGACATTGAAGAGGAAAAAAATATTTCCCTAACTTATTATCTTTTATCGAAACAATTTTTTTTCGTTGCGTGACCATGACCTACCAAAACAACTTATCAAAATTGTGTCCTGCAATCGTTTTCCCTGTGTTTGCTTTCTGTAAATTACAATATGTTTTTGTTTTTTTTCCTTTAGTACTGGTTAAATCCTCAGAAGAAAATAACAACTCAGCTAAAAGGTATTTTGCGAGATTCTTCGTATGAATTTTTTTCCCACGATTAAGCCCCAACGCCTAGATTTTATTGTCATGTAAATAAGTATCCCGGACAATTTTCCTTGGAGAATAATATTGTCAACTAGTTTGTTATGCGACTTTTATCCTGAAAGCATTAATTTTTTATTTTTGACTCAGTGCTTCTTCCCAAATGGTTTATGTTTACAAACTAACACAAAATATATGTTGTAAATAATCATGCACTTGTTCAGAACGTTATATATTTATTAAAATGTTGTTATTTATAACTAAATTAAATTTGTTGTGATTAGCATTAATGGATGATCCCAGACAGCTTTTACTGATCTCTGCATTATTATGAAATAAAAAGATTTGCTTTTGAAGCAGTTCGGCTTAAAGTATATCATGGGATAACCAAGGTTAATCCTTTACCAAAAGAATTAGAAGCAGTGGGTTTGTTTCGTGATGTTATCAGCAAAAAGGACTGATTACAATCCCCACTTGACTGACCTAGCTTTCACTACCTATGTGGTCTGAGTGTTTAAATATTTCTTGATGGTTGCATGCTGTACAACCTGTTGGCTCTCTTAACTTCAGTGTACACAGGAAATAGTATGTCTGAGTGAGATCAATCTTGGACACGCAAGAGCCCCAGTATTTGATAAAGCTCTCTTTTTTAATGTGTGTGTTTCACTTGTTTGTTTCATAACTGCAAACAAAATTAATATAGCAATACCATTCTTTGCACTTTTATGAATCAAACAGTAACAGAATGACGTTTCTCTTTCATATTTCTGCCGTATTACATCCACTTGTTTCCTTTTCCTGTTGTGAAGTAGAAGTACTTAAAGAAAAATTTCCCTTTGTCGTCAATGAGTTTTTCGCTGACATATTTGATGTTGAAATGCTTCAGTTCTGATATTGATTCTGATATTAGTACTGTGGTCGCTTGTTGACTTGAAGTTAGTTCTATATTAGGTTTCATTAGCAATCTAAAGTACTTTATTTTATCAAACTCAAAATCTAACTATCATGAAATATTGATTTTCATAAAAATGGAACAAAAGGATGGGAAAATTATGGAATTGATGTTAGCATTTTGATTCTCTCTCTAATTATCTTTACCATGAAGCACTTGATATGCGTGGCATTTGTTGAATAGTTTATTTATATATCTGATAATTTTTGGATGATGTTAAAACATTCATTTAAAAATAAGAAACTCTATTTTAACATTCTATGGATGGTTATGTTGTATACATTCGCAATTGTTTTTCAAGTAAAAGTTTACAAGTTGACTGTCAACATCTACCCTTTGTTCTTCCTTTTGTCCATACTTTCTGATGTAAGACATAATTACTTTTTCTAGAAGGTTAATCTGTAAACAAAGTTTTGGCCTCTGTGATTATCATGTAAATGGAAACATTTTTTTTTAATGTGGGTCTATTTGCGTAACTTAGTTGTTTCATCTGACCTTAGCATTGAGCAATATCTGAGACAATAAAGTAAAGCAAGTTATGCTTGACAGTCATTTGAAGCTATTGACATCAGTAAGTCAATTAAAGAATATAAATTTGTTTCAGGTTGCCAGCCAAACTTTGGTTTTGCTGTTAAGTTTTATGAGCCCCTTCCTTCCCAAATCAAGACTGACTACACCAGGTAAAGCAAATACATAGCATACTTCCCACAGATAAAGATGGAATTCTTTTTATAGTGAATTTTAGAGGTTATTTAGAATTGCATTAGTTTTGGTCTACTTCCCTAAATATTAATTAGTCTAGAATACTTTTGCCACCTACTCGACTTGGCTTCAGACAGTTTGTTATTACTTTTATTGGTTATCATACTGTTTTGTCTCCCAATTGAACTTCAACTTGTTATTGATAGAAAGAATTTCCCCTAAGTTTTTTATTAAATGTGAGAAATTGCTTTTGAACTTTATTCCAAAGAATATTCTTTGAGTCACATGTATGATGCAAGAGCAAGAACTGCTCAAGCAAATCAAAGAGAACATTCACTAAGCATTCATACTAGATTCTTCTACTCAGTATTTTTAATTAATGTTTTTTTTATACATTTTTATATTTTATTGGGATTTCCTTGAAAAATCTTGTGATTGTTGTTAACTCCAAATATTAATTATGAAATGGTGTTTATAAAACTAAGTTATGGATTAGTGTTTCACAGTATCGTTTCCTATTGTTTACAATCAGATCTTACCAAGAATCTCTTGTAATTTTTTCATGAAGTACAAGAAAAGAAGGGTTCTTTTATTTGGATTTAGATGTACCATATGTCTCAATAACCATTTTGCTCCCAAGGTATTTGATGTGCATGCAGTTGAGGGATGATGTAAATTCTGGGAGGTAAGATACAAATCTCTTACATTTGTTTGCTATGCAGATATACCATAAGAGAGAGCATGGACAGCTTAGATGAAATGTTTAGTGGCTAAGAATAGAATTGCTTGTATCCATGTCATCTTCTTTACAATGAAATTTCTAACTTCAGAATTCCCTTGAGTCAATGCAAAGAATGAATATGTCTTTGTAAGCTCAACCTTGCATGATATGAAGTCATCCTTTTCTTGGGCATAGCTCTCTGGGCCTGGGATTAAGAGGCTCTGATGGGGTCATTTTGCTATGTTCTTAAGCTAGAAACTTACTCTCATAGAGTCTTCCTCACCTAAGAATTTGAATGAGTGTAGAGTAATAAGGCTGAATGAACATCTTCACCCTTAAGATGTAGGCGCATTTCTAGTCACTTTATACAACAGAAAGTGTGGATATGGTGTTTGAGACTTCCATAAACCTTATCTCCTAGCTTTTTATGGTCACCTGAGTGTAATATCACCAATTGATTGTTATATTGGTTTCTCTTTTTCAGATTACCATGTTCCTTTAGCAACCAGGCTGTGCTTGGATCTTACATTGTGCAGGGTTAGTCCTTCAAAAAGAAAATCAAGAACTGATTTTCATTGCATTCAGCCAATGTTGTTGTGGAAAGAGTTTTCTACCTCATTTGTCAAAGTTGTGGCATTTGTTTTCATAGTCCAGCTGGAAACTGACTCTTCCTTTTACTTATAATTTAGGTGATGTTGGTGATTATGAAGCTCGTGAACATGGAACTGACTACTTGGATGGAATGGTCTTTGCTCCCGACCAGGTAAAGATGCTGAGTTAAAAGGGTTTTTATATTAACTTGTGATTCAATGACTTGGTCAATTCTCAAGTCAAATCAAAAGTTTCACTCGGGCTGAGATTTTGTCTTATTCTCTTGAACTGTCATCTTAAAAATGTATTATATTGTCAGGAAAAATAAGCTATTGGTCGTCCTGCAAATGTAAAGGCTATCCCTATCACTTTTTAGAAATAAATGGTAACTCTCCAAAGTCAGTAACCTTAAAGCAATATTTTATTTTTTCTGTTTGTACAGACACAAGAATTGCTGGACAAAATTAGGGAACTTCACAAGCAAAACAGGTAGCATAAGATCTCTACTAATAAAGTAACACTTTGATCTCTCAAATGGTATTTTTCAACAATAGTTTGCATTCATGCCCTTGTGGATTTTTTCAATGTTAATCAAACACTTTCATTTCTTTAGAGTGCATGTTACAGGAAATAAGGTGTCAATGAAAGGAAGTTGTTAATGAAAATTTTGTTATTATTGCTGGGTGAAAAATTAAGTTGATTGGAAGTTAAATGCTGTGGCAATTTTTACACTCAATTAAACAGAATCTGTTAAGAAGCAGAATCATCTCATTAGAAATGCCTGTGATAAAAATGACCAAGATACTGCAAGAAATCTGATTGGTCATAAGCCTATCATTCATTGCACCGATAAACTGATAGAAAATTGAAACAAAGGTTGTTTTGTTCTGAGTTTATGTTATCAAAGCAATACACCTCACTTTTTTGGGTTTACTGGCATAACAACCCACTTGGAATATTGGAAGAACATGAGAAAAGTTTGTAAACCACTCCCCTCCAGCTTGTGAATTACAAAGTTCTCTATCAATCTTCCAATTTTCTTTGTGGGTTATTATGCAGATAAACTGATAGAAAGTGCAGTCTATTGCTTAGTTAGCATTTAAGGAACTCATGATATCCAGAAATGGATGTTATAGTTTGATGTTTGTTTTCCAGGGGTCTCAGTCCAGAAGAAGCTGATTTACAGTACCTAAAGATGGCAGCAACAAAACTTGTCATGTTTGGTGTGGATGCACATCCAGCAAGGGTAGGTAGAATTGCTTCTACCACTAAACCTGACGTCACTTGTTTAAACAGGGCGTGAAATTGCACCTAATAAAGGCACCAATGTGACTAAATTTTTCACTTTGGTGACTAAATCCTGAAAATTAGTTGCCAAATTGGTGACTAGAATGTTTCATCATAACCTTACCAAGAGATATAGTGAATTAAACAGAATTGCAAAGATAAATCCGTGGCAAACTTCCTCATTAAGTTTGTTTCCAAAACGCGGCACATGCATCTCGATCGATAACTAGACACCGTCTTGGATTTAAGTGAGCTTGAACATTTTATATCATCCATCCTAGTGTCCTCTTTTGGAGGGTCTATCTAGAATGCTGACTGTGTGAAAAAAGGTTTTGTCTGTCTTTGAAAATGGCCACCAACTTTTTTTGAATTGGCTTCCACTTTGAAAAATTTAGGAGCTAAGTGGTTATCTGAGAAAAAAAGTTAATTTTACACCCTGTTAAATTGTTGTTAGGTCTCCTTCTAGTTCTGAGAGTTTTCCCCTGAATTCCATGGTTTTCCTCTTCCACTAAAAGCAAAATTATAAGTTGGAATTCAACTTGAAAAAAGTTGCAGAATTGAGAACCTTGTGGTAGCAATGTTCTGTGGAGAACTGTCAGTAGCCAGCTAAAAATTACTCTAGCTGGCAAAGGTTTATGTGCTCTTTCATATCAGTACATGTATTGTACTTGTTTGTCCAGTTGAAGTAGCATATCTCTACCTATAAATGGCTTGCTACCAATTGTCTTGTTTGTAACAAGTCTGGTTACTTTCACAGCGAGTTTTTTATCAGGTTGCTTGTGGTATCTCATCCAAAGTTGCTCTGAGTATATTTGTTTGATTCCAAATAAAGGAACAAGATGGCACAGAAATACTCATTGGTGTTTCTCATGATGGTGTTGCAACCTACAAAGACAGACTGGTGGTCAACAAAATTCCGTGGTAAGTGCATGAATTTCATGTTACATTGCTCGATTAATTCTTACATTCCAAGGGAAGTTATAGGTGCAACTTCTTTAAGCCTATGGCCCCTGAGTGTGACGAGCATCTAATTTCTCCTTACAATATCACACCTGAAACAGACATTAGGGTTATGAGAATAACTGAAATTAAGAGGCTTTTGATTGATAAACAAATTCTTCATGTCATCATAATATCAATCATAGTATCTGAACCTCATTTGAAATTTTGATTTAGGACCAAGATTGACTACATCAAGTACAGAAAGAGGAATTTCATCATCAAAAGCCATCCAGGAGAGGTAAAAACAGAGTAATTGCCGCAGTTAGTTGTAGCATTTTCCAAAGGCCTTCAAGAGGAGACATATTTTGTTTAAAGGTTAAAAGGTTCTCTAGAGCTTTGCACCCCAAGAAGATACCCTTACAAGGGATTTTTTGTCTATGTGATCCAGAAAATCCTGAGTAAGATCATTATTTGGTAGATCCTCTTTTTCTTTTTTTAGACTTTAGGAGATGAGATTTGGCTCAGATTGCACATAATTTGACTCCTTCCTGTGGGTTCTGTTTCATAATCCTATGAAGGATTTCACCCACCCTTTGAACCTTTAACCTCTAAGAGTGAATGGGATCAATTGTCTCCTTACAGGATCATTACTGAATCAAACATAAACGTCATAACAAAAAGGAAAATATCCAAAATTAAAAAAGCTCCTGATTGTCATACAAATTCTCCTGTCAAACCTCATGAATTGAATGAAGAGCAGTATGGAGAAAATATATTTTGAGGGTGTAAAGGGTTGATGAACACAATTTTGTACTTGTGCAAAACATAATCATTTGATAAACACAATTTTGCACTTGTGTGAAACATTATTATTTAATGAACACAATTTAACACTTGTGCAAAACATTCTTGTAAATTATTGGTATTTCTTTCAATTATCAGCTGGACACTTTGACAACTAGAGCTGTTTACAAGACGCCAAGTGAGAAGGCAGCCAAGCGCTTGTATAAATCTTGCGTTGAACATCATACATTCTTCAGGTATAAAATTTTCTTCCGGCCAGTATCAACTGTCTGCACATTGGCCATCTGCAAAACACCCATATTTTTATTACTATTTTTTTTTGCCTTCTGCTACTGCCTGAATTTTAAATCCTACTGCCAATACGTTCAGCAAAACTCTGTTAGGAGTTTTCTCCCCCACACCACATTACTGATATTGCTCCAAACACAATCTTGCCTTTTCTGTGTCAGGTTAACTTTCTCTGACCCACCACCAAGTCGCAGTAGCTCTCTGCTGAGGATGGGATCAAAGTTCCGTTACAGTGACCGCACCCTGTATCAGCTACACAAGGATGGTCAACCAATCAAGGACCAGCCCAAGTTTAATCGTGTTTCAAGTCTAAACTGGTCACGTCGTTACCAAATGCCTTCTCTATCAGAAACCAGGATTTATGTGAAAGAAGATGATGAGAGCAACAAGAGGCCCTTATCAGAGGGAGATCTTCCCGGAAAGATGCGGTGGTACAAAGGGGGACAGGTGAGTTAGTATGGTTAATTCATGGTATACGTTTCTTGGACATGTCTTTTGATTCTTTTTTGTACAATTCTCTTTAAAACAAAGCTGGAACCTTCAAATATTTCTTTCTTATTCCTAGTGTACTCAAGATGCCTGTATACGTGTTTTATGTATGAAAACAAGATTGTGAGACATCTAGGGTAGCATCAGGCAAAATTTGGCAAATGTATGATATGTTTAGGAGATTATTAGTCTGCAAGTGAATTTTGTTGCTCTGTATGGAAATTTTATTTTCCAATTGTTTTAGGCACCACTAATGGAGGAGGAATCAATGGCGACCTTGACACCAGAAGAGCGTGAACAGTATCAGAGAGAGATAACAGAGAAATTGGGAAAACAAAAGGGAGAAAGAGGAGACGATGTCATCAGAGCTACTGGTGCCGGGGAAGCTGGTGGCTTCTATGCATATGGTAGAGCAGAAAGACCTGATCCTCAAGCCACAGTCACTGCTGTGGAAGAAGAGGCAAGGAGACGTGAGTGGGAGAGGAAACAAGCTGAGGAACGAGAAAGGATACGACTTGAGCAGGAGAAAGAAGCAGAACGAGAGAGGAAATTGCAAGAATGGATTGAAAGCGAGAAGAGAAGGTTAAATAAAAGTTTGATAAGAGTGTTATTCAAGTCATCTTTTCCCAAAGGATCTTAGTCAGTGAAAAATTAAAACCAAATTTTTCCCAGCGACCAATCAGAACAAAAACTTGCTTTGTCATTAGCCAATGAGAACTCTGTGTGAAAACAAGCAAACTGCTTGAAGCGCGGGGAAACGTGCATGACCAAGTCGCGATTGTTTTTAGTTTTGTATCTTATTGGTTGAGAGAATGGCGCGTTTTCTTGACCAATCACAGAACAATGCTCAATTCCTTTCAACGCTCAATTGAAAATTGCTCTAGAATACAATAACTGATCAGCAAAATTTGGTCATTTTTTGTTGGATAGAATAACATAAGGTACAATCTGTCTTGATTTTAGGGTTGAGGCAATTGAGCCGCAGGAAGCCGGCCCAGCGTACACAGCTCCAGGAGGAAAAGCTGAAAGGTAATTTTACGCGATCAAATTGGTCAAATTGAGGTAAAGTGTACCTTAACGATACGTGTGTATAAGCTTGATATTCATATCTTGTTTGTATATTTTTTTTCTACCGTACTATTTATTGTCTTCTCACGTATTGAATGCTGTCTATTTTAGAGCAACATTTACTCTGGAAAAGGTCAAGAAGGAAGAACCAGAATTTGTCAGCATGGGCGTGGCTACCCCCGTTAGTGGTTTTGACACCATCAAGAGGGCAGAGACGAAGGTAGCTGATACTGATACGTACAAGGGACGTGTCCAGAAGCTGCCACAGGATGAGATGGTAAGAATCTATAGATGTCATAGAGTCCTAAAAGTTGACTAGAAACTCTTGTCATTTGTCAGATGCGTTTGGCCAGTTGGGTCTTTCCGTTGGGAGAGAGTTCCACTGTTGATAGGAGCATTTTGACTAGAACCATTATTTCCCAATTTTTATCAGTTCACTTCCTACAGAAAATTCTCAAATGCCAACTCCGTTCAAATTCGACATTCTGCCGACCAGTGAGTTGTTACTAATGATTAGCACCCCAACACTTGTTATGTAGATAAGCCATTCAAAGGCAGTTTGACGCAACTAAAATGAGAGCGTCCAAACAGCGTCTGTCCAACAATGGCGTTGTCGCCGTTTTACGTAAACCCGTTTTGGTTTAGACAAGGGCATCAGTCTGTATCAGTTCCTGGTATTGTAAAGAAATATGAAGGAAACTTGTCGCGGTTTTCCAGGCCAATCACAGAGCAAACTTGCCTCCTTCGCAACCGTTCTTCGAGATGTGAAAGAATGGTCCCCTAGAGTGTTGCGTGACATTTAAAGAACGGTTGCGACGGAG